GAGAGGGACACCCGAGAAATGACGGCATCCAAGTGTCTGGGAGGTGAGAGGGGCCGCCAGGCGGCTGAGGGGCTGACGATACGATCACTTTCGGCTTCGGACCCCGGGTGCAGGGCGCAGAGTGCACTGACCCCACCGGTGAACGAGCCGCACAGAAGCACTAGGTCCAGGCGCGGGTTGGGTGCAGGCCGCCGCCTTACCGTCCTCCCGAGCGTCCATGGGCACCCGCCCCGCGGGGATGGCTGCAGACCCCTCGCCGCGGTCTCCTCCGTCCATGGGGGAAGAGAGCTGTCCGGACGTCACTGCGGAAGGAAGGGCAGGTGGCTCAGCAGCGGGGCCGCTGGGGACACACGGCGGCAGAGGGGCGGCGGCGGGCAGTCGCGGAGAGGCCGAGGCGGCCACCCGGAACGGCAGCGTGCCGCCGGCATCCGTCGGGCCGGAGCCCCGGGAGCCACAGGCCGGGACGCCGGGACTAACCGAATCCCGAGCTCTCGGGGCGACTGGGGCTTCGGCGACCCCGGAGCCCCACACTCACGGCCTGGCTCTAGCCACGCTGGGCTCCGGGCGGCGCGCGTCCCTCCCCGGCCCGCGCCACCTGGCCCACCTGGGCAGCCCACCGGCCCACTCACCCTGTACGGCCACCGGGAAGTGAGCCTCCGCCGAGGATTTAAACGCCGCGCGAAGCCGTTCGGGCGGCCGGATTGGCTGGTTTGAAAAGGGCCGCACCGGCGCCGGCCGCGGTGCATCCTGGGGGTTGTAGTCAGAGCACCCACAGGAGGAGCCAGCGCGCGTGCGCACTGCCTCCGCGCCGCGAATGATCCCTGCTTCGTGTTGGTTGTCTTGGAGGATAGGCTCTGGCAGCAATGGCTCAGGGACGACGGGTGCACACAGACAGAAAATGAGCTTGATCCCACCGGGTTTCCTGGGCTGTACTAGGACTCCGACTAACTCTGGGTCCCCTCAGACAGAGGTTCAGGCTGAGAAATGCGTATGGCAAGGGGCCTATTTCGAATATTAGCTCTTCTGGAAAATGGAGAAAATTAGAACTCCTACTGAGAGTGTTGAAAAGCCCTGTGGCGCAGTGGGTAAGGCATTTGGCTGCTAACCAGAAGGCTGGGGGTTCAAACACGCCAGCGGCATGGCAGGAGGAAGATGGGGCAGTGTACTTCCCTAAAGCTTTACAGCCTGGGCAAAGCAATGGTGGTCAGTAGGAGTGGGGTAGAATAGATGGCAGAGAGAATTTTGACCTAGGATGTTGGTGTGAAGGTCCCTGAGGTTGCCAACAGTTTGCACGGTGTAATTGAAAGGTCGGTGGTTCGACCCTGCTCAGTGACACTGGGAAGAAAGGCCTGGTGATCCGCTCGCTTCCCTAAAGATTACTGCCAAGAAAGCCCTGTGGAGCGGTGTGGCCATCACATTGGGTTGCCATGCGTGGGAACTGGCTCCAGAGCAGCAGTTTGGCTTTTGTGTATGTTGGTGTGAAGAGTAAGCAGAACCAGGCATTTGCGGTGTGTTACTATAGTAATCGGGAGGCCGGGCTCTGCCCGGGAGCACAGGTGTACCCAGGCCCAGACGCTGGTTCTTCATCCCAGGACCCTGAGAAGCCCACAGGGCTGATGTACCATCCGTAGCAGGTGGCTCCAAATGAGGCCCTGACGAAGCCAGAGGGTGTGGCAGGAACTCTCCTGGGCCTGACAGGTGTCCTGAGATCAACAGGGGCTGCTAACGGGCCTGGCACCCCGGCTGCCCAGGCTGGAGAGAGGAGGTGTATTAGAGGGGACAGGCAGGGTCCAGGACAGGGAGGAGGCCTGGAGGGGACCTGCATGTGTTGGGAAAAGGAAGGAGGCAGCAGGTAAGGAGACCCCCACAGGAGCCACTGAAGAGGTTCAGACAGGACAGGGAGGCAGGTCACCTGCAGCGGCTTGAGGCTGACCTCACTCAGCCTTTGCCTCTGTCCCAGGTACACACACCCCCTCGGGCTGGAGAAGGCACCTGGGGGCACAAGTGGTCTGCACTCAACTCCTAAGCGATAGGTTGGTGGCTCGAACCTCTCCAGCAGCTCTGCAGAAGGCCTGGCCATCCGTGTCCATCAAGATGACAGCCCAGACAGCCCCGTGGAGCAGTTCCGCTCTGTCACACACGGGGTCTGTGAGTCGGGATGGACTTGATGGCAGTGGGCCACGGGCTGAAGGGTTAAACAAGGTGCTTTTTTCCAGGTGCTCGGTCCAGGCCAAGTAGCCCAGGTTACCCAGGACAGAGAGATGGAGGAAGGGGCCTGGGGCCACCCTCAGGGCCACCCGGGGAGGACAGAGTTCCAGGAGGGCACCATCTCCAGGGATGACAAGGAGCTATTTGGAGCATACGTTTAAGATGTCCGAGGACAGCCACCCTCAGCTGAGGCCCTCCTCTGAGAAGCCTTCCAGGTCTGTTGGGTGTCTTCTGGGCTTCCCGGCTTCACACCATCCATCCCACCCCATATGGCTGTGGTACCTCTTCACTCCTGACCCTGAGTCCAGCTCCCCAAGACACTGTGAACTCCTAAGAGGGCCGGGCTGGGTCTCCCTCATCACTGTGCCCCCAGCCTTGCCAGCCCAGTGTGGAGCAGGGGCTGCAGGAGCAGGTAAGGTGGGGTGGTCACGCAGCTCAGTAGGACCTGGCCTGCCCATTGCATTCCCCCTGTGGCTCACCACAGTGTCTCCACCACCTCTTTTCTATTCAGGGGGGCTTCCTCTGCAGCCTTCAGCCCCAAGCTACACCCTGCCCCGAGCCACTGATGTGCCGGGCCCCGCCCCACCTCAGCTTCTGGCCCTGGCTCTCGGGTTCTGTTCCGTATTTGCTCGGGACCCTAGTAAACTGGAGAAAGTGATGACGTCAGCCAACCCACCTGCTTGCCCAGCTGTGGGGATCCGCCAGGACACTTTGGGTCGCACGTCACAGGAAACAAGCCTGAAGCTGGCTTTAAAGAGGGGTTATTGGCTCCAGGAACTGGGTCCAGTGGCAGCCGTAGCTTCCGGGCCAGCTCTCAGCCACTCCTCTTGTTGCCTACCCTCAGGAGGCCGCAGCTACCAGCTTCCTTCCACCTACCAGGGCCTCCTAAAGCCGGCGGCCAGCTCCACAGAGCCCATGCTAACTCCATGGCTGCAAGGCCCAAGTTAACCTAACTCGTGCCATATGACAATGACAGCAGGCGCTAGGAAGGTCCAGGAGCCCCTGGTCCCGGTGTGTGATCCCCGAGCCCTGTGGGTATCTGCTGGGGGGTTGACATCCACTCCCGGTGCTCTTTTCTGGCACATAGTAGGTGCTCCTGAAACTGCACCTCGAGGTCCCCACTTCCTGCATCTCTTCTCCTGGCCGCCTCCTCCCTGTGCACTGTAGTCCACTGTAGTCATTCCTTCCTTCCCCCAAGGCTCCTGCTCCGAGTGTCGGTCATGGTCCTTTCGCCAGCTTCCACTGGGCTGCTCTGTGCAGGCCACTAGCTGAGGGGCGCTGGGGATGCAGAGGTGCCCCTGACCTGAGGGGGTCACTGTCCGGAGGAGAGAGGTACAGGGGTAGGTGTCAAGGGCTGTGGGCCCAGAGGAGGCACCAGGGCCCAGCTCTCCCTGGCCCCTTTGTTTCTCACCTGGAGCCAGGAGAGAGGAGGCCTGGGGGGCTGACGGAGTGTGAGACAGACCAGGCAGGAGGGTGGCCTGGCAGACCCTGCTCGGGTGCCCGTCGCATGGTCACCGTACCCCGAAATCCTACACAGTGACCCATTTTCTTGACTCACAACCCCAGCCCACCACAAGTTCAGGAGAAGCCCATCTTTCCAGGACCCAGCCAAGGCCCGGCACGTAGGAGATGCCCAAAGATGCTGAGCAGTTAGTGGAGGAAAGCAATCAATTTATTTTGATCTCAGGAACTTGCCTGGGCTTGAGTGTAGTGCATAAGCCCAACAGCTGGGGAAACCCCCCACCCTCTCCTTGACTCTGACAAGTGGCCTCCTAATTTCAATGCAAAGAACAGGAAAAACACCCACGCCCCCTGGCCTCCCTCACAGGAAGGCTGTCATCGGCAGGCCCCAGGCAGCAAATGATGCCTGCACCCCGGGCTGGAGCAGAGGGGCCCTGGGCTCGCACAGGGCGGAGGCAGTGCTCGTTAAAGCGGGCTCAGACCTGGTGAAAGTGTCACAGTGGTTCGGTTCTTGCCACGAAAGAACAGCCCCTGAGCTCAAGCCTCGCACCCCACAAAGCATGCCCTCTCCGGGTGCATGCATCCGAGAGTAAAACTGCCACTGACAGGCACCCAGCGACCCAAGACCTCACGGTAACACTTAAGAGAAGCCCAGATCAGCATCCCACACGGAGGTCCCTCCGACGTCGGGAGGAGCCGCCCAAGGGCTTGTCCCGTCTGTAGAACAGCCAGTCCAACAGCGGGGGGCAGAGACTAAGGGCAGCGAGGTGGGGGCCCGTGCCCCGGGAAGGACACTTGGGCCGGAGGTGGATCCCAGTGGTGCCTACATAAGCTGCGATGCTGAGTGAGTACCCTCACCTCAAAGTGAGGCCAAGGGGACCTGCTAAGGCTAAGATGAGGACGATGCGGGGGCAGGGTGACCACGAGGCACCTGGTAGAAGATTCTCCTGCTCCCACTGAGCCTGCCCCAGACTGCCCTGCCTTCCAACCCTCCCACCCCACAGTTAATGGACAGAAGGGTCCCCCTGTGAAAACACGCTTGCAGGGTACAGCCTCCCAGCATGAGTGCATAAAATGCACCCGACACCGGAATGGGCTGGAGGAAGATGGTGAATCACGTCAAATTAATTGTGTCCCTTTTGCTGTACATCGTGCCCCTTTTGTTCACAGGATGTCTGCTCTATGCGACGCTGGCCCACTAGCAGCCCTGGGGGCCCAGCCGGTTTCTAACTACTGCTCCAGGTGGGGCAGCAGCACCCCAGCCCAGGAATCAGCTGAGGTTCTGCTGCCAGAGGCGGCCAGGCCGGGTCACTGCATGAGGCCAGGCCGGGTCACTGCATGAGGTGGCGGGCAGCCGCCTTGCGGATGAGCCGCTCGGTCAGGGGCGAGCCGGGCTTCAAGGCGTCCCGCTCCATCAGAAGGCTCCTGTGGAAACAGACGCAGGCTCTGCTGGGGAACCTCCTAGCAGGTGGGGGCGTGGTGGGCCTCAGCCCCAAGCCAGGTACTGGCAGCCTGGGCTGGGGGACAGGGCAGCCGGAGGGCAAGGAGCCCCCTTCCAAGGCCGCTGGAGGAAGGTCCCCCTCACCGAGGAGAGAGGAGGGGAACAGACTGGAACAGACGAGGCAAAAGCCCAGAGGCAGGGGAGAGCCAAGAGACGGGTGTGTGGGCGGGAGACGTGGTGTAAGAAGTCATGGGTGGCCCCCCAGAGCCAGCTCCTACCCGCTGCAGGCAGGAGAAGTGGAAAGTGGACATCCACTGTTTGTGGAGCAACTGACAGTCTCTTCAGAGCAAAAGCTGGGGACCTCGTGGCCCAGCGACTGACAGTAGTTACGAGGGCGAGGGTGTCACTGTGCCGGGTCTGACTCAGAACACTGTGGGTCAGGAACTCAGGGCTCACCCTCCCTCCACAAGCCACACTGGGGCCCAAAGGAAGCGGCCATGAGGGGTGGGGGCTGTGCCCAAGGGCATTTTGGGAAAAGACAGGACAGAAAATGGGGTGTGATCTGAAAAAAAAGAAACCTTGAGTTTAAGTAGAAAATGTAGGTACAATACAAAAGCAACCAAAAAACCAGTTGCCAATGAGTGAACTCCGACCCGTGGCGACCCCCACGTCTCAGCAGGCCTGAGCGCCACACGGCTCTCAATGGCTGGATTTTCACAAGTGGATGCCAGGCCTTCCTTCCGAGGTGCCTGTGGTGAGTTCAGAGCCAGTCTTTGGGTGAGTGATCAACACGGAACCGTCTGTGCCACCCAGCGGCCGTTTGAGGTAAATACTCCAAAGAGTGGCCCACAGTGCTTGGGGCGGGTTACAGGCTATGGAGGCAGGGAGGCTGCCCTGCTCAGTGAGGGCAGCCCCCAGCTGCTGCAAGTTGAGGACAGGTGGGGCTTGGAGGGGGCACCCCGTCACCCCAACAGCCGCAGGCCGGGGAGTGTGGTGCTGAGGCTGAGCAGCGTCTGGGCAGGAGGGTGGGGCTGTCGGGGGAGGTCAGGCTGGAGCAGGGCTGCTGGCCCAAGGTGAGGAGGGGGGGGAAGTGGGTGGGATGGAGGCCTTCCCTGCCCTGCTCTGCCCTCCTCCACCTCTGTCCCCACCCTCAACACGTCCTGGCCTGGACTTTGGGTCCTGGTGTCGTTTGCCAGTTTGCATGTATTTCTATGATGCACGGCTTAGTGGGAGCCCCTCCACCACACAAGCTGCCCACAGTGGGCCTGCCCGTTCCCTCACCTGTGAGCTGCGGCCTCACGGACTACAGCATCACCAGGTGAAAAGGGAGAAGAAAGAGCGTGCCGCTCAGCACGGCAAGGGTGAGGGGTGGCCGCGGAGGGTGGGAGGCGGGGCACAGCTTCTTGAGGGGTGGGGAGGCCGGTTCCCTCCGGTCGCACTGGGCGAACAAGGACCCTGACACCGTGTAGCACTGCACCTTCATAGCCTCAAAAGCAGGAACTAAGGGGGAGGCCAAGGGGTAGCTGGGAACCTCCAGAGGCCACAGGGGACCCCAGTAAGAGAGCCACTCCACGGGGAACTCACCGGGCCACGTTCCTATGGGCACTGGAGGTGCAGTTCAAGGCCGCGTGGATCAGCAGCTGGTTGAAGACATCTCTCTGCAAGGCCAATGCAGCAATAGAGTCTCCATGACATGGGCTGAGGACAGGAGGGCCCCACACAGGTCTGCCATCCCCAAGGGAGACGGGTGCTGCCACCATGTACCCCTCACCCCCAGATTTACAGGGGTATGTGTGAGTGCCCACAGAGCGGCCCCAAAGCCACAGGTGAGGACGTGGCATGTGGGGGCACACCTGGGCGTTGCTGCCTCCGATCTGGGTGAGCCGGTACCGGACGGGCAGAAGCAGCTCCAGGGTCCGGTCGGCATTCCCGTTCTCAGCCTCCACCAGGGCCTGGCACAGCGGGAGCCCCACGTCCCGGGCCAAGTGGTGTTGGCAGTTCTCCCCCGGGGACCTGCCAAGGCGAGAGCCGCCCTCAGCCCTCGTCCTGGCCCTCGGTGCTCCCACCCGACTCCAGCTTCCCGTGGGTGCCTGGCACCATGTGCAACACACAGTGGGTGCTTTGAGGGGCGAGATGGCAGGAGAAGCAGCTCTGTGAGGGAGTGCTGGTGCGGGCCTGCTGGCTCACGTATGAAGTGGGTGCAGCCGTGCCCACCTGGCTGAGCTGTCAGGATTGCAGGCCATGCAGGTAGAGGCCTAGCTTCATGGGTTGGGGACCATCACTGCCATCTACTGGCTCCCAGGCCGGACCCCCAGCTTCCTCCCGGGACAGGAGCAGCACTGAGCAGGCCTCGGTGCGTCCCCAAAGCCCCTCCTGCCCCTGCGTACACGCTGGCCTCCTGAAGGGTGGCCAGCAGCTCCTGCGTGGTCTCAGGGTCCCGTGCGCCCAGGGAGGCCATCAGGAAGTGGACATCATTGAATAGCAGGACGTGGTCACGGCTGTGCTTCTGGGTCACAGAGTGGACGTCCCGCCAGCGCTCACCCACCGGCACCCCTGAGGACACAGGAAGGAGAGCCGGGCCTGTGTTAGGCTCTGAGCGCCTCCTGCCGCCTCCACCCGCACACCCAGAGGGGGCCCTGGTGACCTGCTCCAGGTGGGAGACCTAAGGGGGCGCACGCTGGGTCATGGCGGCCAGCCTCATACTGAGGTGGGACTCCTGGTGACATGAACTGCGTTCAGTTACAAACACAGTTGATGCGTGGCACTGAAAGCAAACTATGAAACCAAACTGCAGAAGGACGTGTAGAGAAAGCGAGCAAATCCCACTTTTCTGCCTCCAAACTGCAGAGATGCGTCAAATCAGTGCAGTCGAGCCTCAGCCTGTCCCTCTGGGTTCCACCCCAGCTGCACACACAGCCCTTCTGAACCTGACCACCGGGGCTCACAAGTTCAAGGGCACAGTCCTTCGGATTGCCAAGTCTGCCCAAGACCTCAGCTGCCAGATGCGAGCTTGGGGGTCCCTCGTTTCTCACCTGCTGACCACAAACTCAGGGTTTTCCCACTACCCTTCAGGGTACCAGCTGTGAGCTCAGGAGTCCCCAGGGCCCCCCTCATCTCTGACCTACTGGCTACACATTCAGGGGTTCCCTTTACTACCTCAGGATACCCACTGTAAGCTCAGGCCCAGGCCCCTTTCGGGCTCCCAGCACCCTGTTGGGTTCGATAATTCAGTGGAATGCCTCGTGGAACTCTGGGAAGTGCTGTACTTAGGAGTACAGTTTTATTACAGCAGAAAGGATCCAAGTGAAGAGACAGATAGGGTGAGGTCTGGGCGGTTTCCCACGGGAGTGTCCACATCTCAAAGGACACACTTGTTTGCTAGGCGCATCCATGTCTTTCACCAACCAGGAAGCCCAGGGGGCTTCCGTGTGGAGCCTTCACTGGGCCTGACTGCATTGGTGAGTGACGGAATCAAGCCCCCTCTCCCCGAGGCCAGCTGACGTCACTTCTGGTCTTTCTGGCCTGGCCAGCTCCCGCCTAAGTCACTCATTGGCATAAACCCTGAGGTGTGGTGTGGTGGGGTCTCATCAAAGGCACTTAGAGGACTCGGGTAATTCCAAGGTTTTAGAGGTTCTCTCATGAACCAAAGATAAAGACCAGATTCCCTGTGTGAAGTCAAATCCTCTGCCCCACAGTTAACACTTCAGTCTGGGAGCATTAACTGGGAAGTCTCCAGTCCCTTTGCAAAGCCCCAAACAGCTTCTGAATTCCTCCAGGTAACGGCTGCCATGGCCCCGCTCCATAGCAGGCACCGAAGAACGTCCGTCAGTGATTGGCCCACCTTCCCCAGGTCCCCCAGCTCCAGGAGGTCCCTCCTCGGGCCGCCCACTCCTCTCCCAGCCCCCACCTGATTTCTGGAAGTCAGCATCCTCCTGCTCTTCCCTGTGGGCACCGTCCCGACGGTACACCCGCCCTTAACCGTACATTCTCAGTCTGTCAGAGTCTGTTCTCCAGCGGCCCCTCAGCAGCTGCCCCCGCCTCTTACTTTAGGTCCCTGTCCCTTCTGCGGCCTTCCTCACTCTTAGCTCCCAGACACTCCCCAGCAGTTTCAAGCTCTGGGCCTCTGCAGGTCACCAGGACTCAACACTTCCCCACACCGCGCCTGCTCCATTGGTTCCGGAGATGATTGGCAGACAAGATACACACTCCCTCAGCGCAGGGGTTTCAGTTGGGCCTGGGAAATTCCTGGCCTCAGCCTGAGCTCAGTCCCCAGGGTTCAGAGGGGTCCTCCCAGGTGGACAGGAGCCCAGTCCTCGCCCCAAGAGAGCTCCCCTGGGCTCCTGAGTCCTGCCACCTATAGCCACTTCCTGCTCTATGCGACCACATCAACCTCCCTCTCTTACCCCTTAAGGAGCTGTTGACCACTGTGTCCCATGTCTCAGGACATGTTGCACCCATCACATGCAACGTTTGTTCTTTGCCTCTGCCTGGCAAGACCCCAAATATCCCCCTACCGCTCACATTTCACCTCCACTAGGAAGCCTTCCAGGAACCCTCTGTGCCCTCCCTCAGCCCCCAAAGCTCCCCGCCAGGCATCTATCCTAACGCTGACCAACTGACCCCAGGGACCCACACCTGCGTAGGTACAGACTTGGTTCTGCTCAGCCTAGGGAGGGGAAAAAGCCAGCTGACACCCCCAAAGTTCCTGGAAGCCCTCCACAGCCCCAAGCTGCGGCCAACCCGCCCAGACTCCCTGCAGAGTGTGGGGTGACAGTGTTGAGAAACCTCTCTGAGCTCGCAGAGGGTTGAGACACACTCGCCTCCCTTGTTCTGAGAAAGCAGCAGCGTCCAGCGTTGAGTGGTGGGGTGCCACCTTCACCTACGGGCCTGGCAGGCAGGTGTGGGAACAGCACGTGCTGCCTGAGCGCAGAGCCCAAGGCCCCTGGAGGAGGGTGGTAGGGACAGGAGGAAAGGGCTGCACGGGGCTGGAAGGCAGGGGAGGAGCTGGCACCCGGCACCGCAGCCAGCGTGCCTGGCCCGGGGCCTGAGCTGTTGACCACTGTGTTCTGGGCGCCCTTGGCTGGGTGGCGGCACTTTGCCTCCATTACATGGGAGAGGAGTGGGGAGCTGGGAGGGTGGGGCTGGGGCTACCTTCCAGCTGGAGCCGGTACAGCATGGAGCAGCTGTCCACCACGTCCAGCATGGCGCCACTGGCCCGCATGCTGGGCAGGACCTGGAAGACAAGGCAGAGCCCAGGAGCCGGGGTGAGGGGCTGCAGGGGCAGCCGAGCCTGGGGCTGGCAGACAGGAGCCACCAGCCAGTAGGGGCCCCTCCCCTGAGGTCCCCACCACCTCAACCCTCACCCAGGGCTCCGGGCGCCATGAGAGGCATATGGTACATCCCCGAGGTCATCTCACATCCCCAAGCCTCAGCCCTCACTGTGGACAACTCATCTCATCCATTCCTGGTTCTAGAGGCAGCTGTGCAAGCCACCTGGTCTACCTGGTTTACCCCTTGCTTTCTAGTACCAAATAACTGACAACCCCAAATATTCCTGAGACCTTTATTGCGTCTTTCTCTCTGGTGTCTGGTCTCCCAAACCATGCATATTAGTGACCCCTGTTTCCATTAAGTCTTTTCTGGGGCACATGGTGGATCCCCTGGGGCTACAAATGGTTAACTTGCTTGGCTGCTAGGTTCAAGTCTACCCAGAAGGACCTGAGAAGAAAGGCCTGGCAATTAACTTCCAAGAGATCAGCCACCGACAGCCCCGTGGAGAGTGGTCTGGCCACCCACAGCCCCAAGGAAAGTGGTTCAACTTGGACAGACACGGGGTCGCCATGACCAGCTGGGAGTCAAGCGTTTTGTTTTTCTCTCAAAGGAATGCCTATGGACAGAGCAACTCACTGAGCAGAGCCAACCCATCTAGAACATTCAAGAAAGTCTGAGATGGTCAACATCATCCAACTTGATGTGTGAACCGGCCGTGCCCACAGGGTAAACAGTCAAGGAAACCCCCCACCGCGTGCTGAGTTACAACAGCCCTTCTGGCAAACTTGACCCCAGGAGGTCTGACCTAAGGCATGTGCCCTAGCTCTAGCCATTTGCTCAGGCTGGGACAGCACTATCGGACTCAGGGAGCCGTCAGAGACCGAAAAGGAATGGCTGCCAGCAACACACGCAAGACAAATGCAGACTTACGTGGTCGTCGTAAATGGTCAGCGCGGCCTCATAGTCACCCTGGAAAAACAAGTTCCTGTGGTCACATTTGTTGTTATTGTTGCTGGGTGCCATGGAGTCACTTCCTGACTCAGAGTGACCCCATGTAGAGCGGAACGAAACCCTGCCCGGCCCGGGCCCATCCTCACAGTCCTGTGTGTGAGCCTGGGTCACAGCCACCGTGTCAGCCCATCCTGTTGAGGGTCTTCTTTGCTTCCCTGACCCTCTGTTGACCGGGATATCCTTCTCCAGGGACCGCTCCCTCCCGACGACACGTTCACAATTGGAGAAGGGGCCTGTATTTGCTGAGACATGCGCTCAACACGGTCACACTCGACCTTCAGCTGCCTTTCAGAGTGGGGTGGGCAGTGGCTGGGCCAGGGTCCTGAAGGAAAACCTCTTCTGCTCCGGAAGCTTTGGCCCTCCGTGGATAAGGGACGGCAGAGGCCCCGGCTGCTGCGTGGAAGCATCACTTCTCTGTTGTAAACAGAGTCCCTGTCCAGCCGTGCCAGCCTTCTCACGCACCTCCTCCTAGCCTTTCCTCTGACATGTATTTACATCTGGGAGCTCTGATGGCGCAGTAGGCTGTTAACCAAAAGATCAGCAGTTCGAACCCACTAACCACTCCACGGGAGAAAAATGAGGCAGTCTGCTCTTCCATAAAGATTTCCAAGGCTGCCAGCCTTGGAAATCCTATGGGGGCAGTTCTACCCAGAATGCACTCGACAGCAGTGGGTTTATATGTACACACACATATGTGTATCACATGGCCACCACCGTCTTCAATGTGTCATACTGTGGTGGCTTGATGTTAGAAGTGATGCCACTGATGTTTCAAACACCACCCGGGCCACCCACTGTGGAGGGCTTCAGCAGCAGCTCCAGGCCAAGACTGGGGACAAAGGCCTGGCGGTCTCCTCTGAAGTTAACCGATGACAGTCCGACGGCTCACAGCACACCACTGTCCCACTACCTTGCTTGGGACATGTCATCAGGAAGGATCAACTGGGGGAGGAGGACATGATGTCTGGGGAAGCGGAGGGTGGTCAGAGCGAGGGAGACCCTCGGTGAGATGGAGGGGCGCGAGAGACACACAATGACGTGCCAGTGTTGTGAGGGCGATGCAGGGCGAGGCGGCATGTCTGCCGGACACCACACTGCACACCATGTCCTGCTGGACACGAGGGCACCGTGGATAGGAACTGACTCCACGGCGCCTAATGATCTGCCTAGCTATCACCCGTCCACCCATCCAGATACGGACGGTTAATGCATTCGGCTGCTAACTGAACACGAACTGACTCCACGGTGTCTAATGATCCGTCTAGCTATCACCCATCCACCCATCCAGATACGGACGGTTAATGCATTCGGCTGCTAACTGAACACGAACTGACTCCACGGCGCCTAATGATCCGTCTAGCTATCACCCATCCACCCATCCAGATACGGACGGTTAATGCATTCGGCTGCTAACTGAAAGGCTGCAGAGTCGAGCCCACCCAGAGGCACCTCAAAAGAAAGGCCTGGTGACCTCCTTTTGAAGAATCAGGGACTGGAACCCTGTGAAGCACATCTGCTCTGATACACACGGGGTCTCCGTGGGTCACAACGGGCTCCACAGCAACTCTTTTTTAATACACACTTAATTTTTTTAACTGTATATTCAGAGGGATTTGCTGCTGCCTCTGCCCTTCTCCACGTCCCTGCCTGGTTACCATAATCCCAGGGTTCCTCTCCTCGGGCAGGGGGTACCTCCCGGGGTTCCTCTCCTCGGGCGGTAGGCAGCTCCCAGTGTTTCTTCATGGTAAACAGCACTACAGGAAGCCCCCTTCAAAACGGGCCCCCGGGCAGAGTCACGGGGTCGGGGTGTTCCCAAGCAGCTGCTCCCACACCCTTGGGCCTCTGCAGCAAAGCACCTTCAGGGGTCCAAGGGCCTCTCAGGTGCACCCAGTGGGGGCTGCAGCTACAGAGATGAGCGAAAACCAGCAGTGCAGAGGCCCTCTGCCTTAACTACCCACAAATTACACGCGAGATTTCCAAGCCCAGTGAAAAATGCCCCGAGCGTTTGGAGCCTGCAGGCTGTTTGGTAACACTGATGCCCTTTGGAAGACGGCCTGGTGGCGTGGAGGGCCCAGTGCTCTGCTGCTGACTGAAGGGCGGGGGGCCGGGACCCACCCCGTGGCTCTGCAGGAGAAAGGACCTGCCGAGGTGCTGCATTAGGGCTGCGGCCGAGAAAGCCCTGCTCCGTGACACATGCGGTCGCTGCGAGTCGGAGTCCCGGCAGCACCGACCAGCTACAACGGTGCCGTCAGCAGCAGGACACCGTTCAGAGGTGCAAGGCTGCGAAGCCCCACCACAGGATACAGACGCACAGCAGGGGTGGAAAAGGGCCCGTCCCGGAGCATCCTCGTCGGGTTAAAGGGCACACACCAGCGGCTTACCTCTTCTATCAGATACAGCGCCCAGTGCCAGTAATTGTGACAAGCCAGCATGTCCGAGTCCTGAGGAAAGAATGAGGAAAATGTGGCACCCGAGAAGAAACAAGTGTCCTTTTCTCTAAATTGTGGCGAAAGTCACGTAATACAGAATGAACTGCTTTCAAGTGAACGCTTTGTGGCACTGAGGCATTCACAATGTTGTGCGTCCACCTCCTCTGTGGAGTTCCAGAACATTCCGTCACCCCAAACGGAGACGCTGTGCCCCCAGGGGCCACTCCCCATTCCCTGCTCCGCCCAGCCCCCGGCCACCACTTGTGTTCTCTGTCTGTGGATCTGCCTACGGAATGTCACTGCTGTACACCATGGAGTCGATTCCAACTCACGGCGACCCCACGTGACAGATGACAACTGCCCACAGGGTTTGCCTGGTTGTAAAGTTTGTGGAAGCAGATCTTCAGGTCTTTCACGGAGCTGCTGGGTGGGTATGAACAGTCAACTCTTTGGCTGGCAGCTGAGTGCACCAACCAGGGTTTGTGCTACCAGGGCTCCTTCTATTGAACGTAGTTCTGTGCTGACATGGGACCTATCATCTCTGAAAGCAAGGGACCTGCTCTGAGCCGCAGCGACTGTTAAACCTGAATTTACCAAGGAGGAAACCGAGGCTGGGAGAGGTCGACAAGTCGTTAGCTCGAGAGCGAGACGGTGGACGTGCTGGGTCTACAAAGGGGCTCCTTAAATCCATCCCCCTTGCATGTAAGGAGCTCTGGTAGCACAGTGCCTAAGGCATCTGACTGCTAACCAAAGGTTGGTGGTTCAAAGCCACCAGCCACTCTGCAGAAGGGAGACTAGGCAATCTACTTCCCTAAAGATGTACCTCCTCAGAAACCCAATGGGGATCGCTATGAGTCAGAACTGACTCGATGACAGTGGGTGTGGTTTTTGGTTTTTTGTGTAAGGTGGAGATGATGAATAAGGATGCATTTCATAGTGGTGACTAGGGCTCCTATATGCCAAATCGTAGGGGTGCTCAGATAAGACCAGGAGGACCCAGAAGCTATGGACATAAAGATGTCTATCTGCCCAGCACCAGCTCGCAGCAGCCACCAAAACCGGTGATGACATTTCTGTCTCAGGGCCTGCCGCAAACAGCCCTTCTGTTATGGGTTGGACTGTGTTCCTCAAAAAGATATGCTGATGAAGATACAATTTTGGCTTGACCAGAGCAAGACAGAAAGAAGAAAA